ATAGCATGCTAAAACCCATTGACCTATACTCTCTAGAAAGGTAAATAATATCTTAATTTCCTTTTAAAAAGCCTATATGGGCTTGGATTGTGAAATAAATAAGCACAATAAACAGAGAAGTATACACAAAGCTTGTACCTAAGTGAGGAATTTTTGTTCTTTGTGTTTTAAAATAATCTATTCTAGGACATAAAGCACCAAAAATTTTCTGGTACGACACAGAATCTCTGACATCTAAAATAACCTTCCATATTGTAGGCAATGGTACTCAGTAAACCAAGGAGGCAAGCCCATCATCAAACCTGAGCCAACTTTTCTAAAATATAATACATTTCATAGTTTCTTTCCAGGCACAGATATTATAAAATAATACAAATAAAATTCACATTCCAAAATTTGCCCTTCAGAGCACCCTTTCACAATCTGGAATAAACTGACACTTGACCATAGGACACAGAGTCTGCGGGGTCAAAATTATTTTCATAATAATGCTAACATTATTTATGTTAACATGCAATGTGCTCATCATTGTTATTTTCAAATGAATCAATAAACTTTTTAAATGTCTCCATTTCAATTTCTAATTGTCGCGTCCCACACGACATAGGCAGTGGGAGAACTCGAAGGGGCAGCGAAGGGTTAAGAAAGAAAAGAAACAGCAGCCAAGGGTTAAAGGAAAACGGGGCCAAGGGTCTCCAGCCTCAGAGAACTAAGAGCCCCAAATCAGGCCAACATGCAGCTTTTATTTCTCCATGTACCCGGAAGTAGCATTGTTCTCTCCACAGCCTGTGAGTCTCATTCCTGAGAACATGCTTAAGCCAGATTACCCATGCCTGCAAGCTGCTATTACGGAGTCCACCCACAGCGATAAAATAGATGCTCTGCCTTCACACACCCTATACGCATAGGACCCCAGGAAGATAAGATTATTATGCTGAGGACAGATCATCAGGTCACTTCCCAAGCAGGTTGAGGGAAGGAATGTAGCTACAGGGGTAGAAGACCTCCAGTCTCTTTGGGGGCGGGTAAGGACCCATGCCCACCTCCATCAGCCCCGAGATTTCTCCTGATGGCCCCCNAAACTGCAGCCCGCTGCCACCACCCTCCTTTCCCTCACTCCCGGAACCCCATAGCCCTTCCCAGGCATACCTTTCTCCATGGCACTATAACCCTGTGACTTGACATGTGTTCAGGCTGCACCCCACTGCCCAGCTAGAATGATGGCCCCAAGGGCGGTGGGCACCCACCCTATAGTTCTGCCCATGCCTGCTCAACCCACACACCTAGGGGTGCCCGTTCCTCCCAGCCTTTTCCTCACCTAGTACCCCTCTCCCCGCCACAAATAATGGCCCCCAAAGATGCCTGAGCTCTAATCTCTGGATGTAGGGAATACATTATTTTACCTGGCAAAGTAGAATTAAGGTTGTGAATCAGCTGATTTTATCCTGGATTATCCGGCTGGGCCCAAAGTAATCACAAGGGTCCTTAGATGGGAAAGAGAAAGGCAAAAGTCAGAGTCAGAGTGATGCAATATAAGAAAGACTCCGCCAGCTTCCCAGATGGAAGTGGGAAGCATCTAGAAACTGGGGAAGGCAGGAAAGCAGATCTCCCCTTAGAGTCTGCGGATACCTTGACCTTAGCCCATTTTGGACTTCTGACCTCCAGGACTGTAAGATAATACATTTGCATTCGTTTAAGCCACCAAGTTTATGGTAATTGGTTACAGCAGCAACAGGAAGTGAATACACAGGCAAAAACATAGTCCTGCCTGTTAATGTTTGTGTTCCTGTCACATTATGAAATGTAACGTGTGTCCCTCAGGGTGTTTTTGTGAGGACCGAGATAATCCTAGCTGCACACGCTCTTGGCACCAGTGTTCGGCACATAGTATCACTAAATGGCAGCCGTGGGGATAACATCTACAGTGGTCGCTCGAGCTGAAGCACTAGATGCTTCCTCTACTTCCAGCTGGGCATCCTGTGGGTGCCCTAGGACTCACAGGGACTCGGTTGGTTCCAAATCTGGGAAATCCTACTCACCCCTGCCATACCTCAGAGAAGGCGCCCACCTGTGCACGGCCTCCTACTTCGGCGGCGTGAGTCCTCCACGCCTGGCAGACACCCCTCGGTGACGATTCTGTCTGCCATGGCTCGGGAGCTGAGCTGCACACACTGATCCCACGGCAAGGGCAGGGATACTGCCGAAGAGGTGCGGGTCCCGGAAGCTGCCCAGAATCCTGGCTCAGGGTGTTCTGTCCTCCTGACGCCTGTCCTCTGCTCCCATTCAGAGACCACAGTCTGCTGGGAGAACTTGGCCAGGCATCCCCTTTTTTGGGGTCTCAAGTTTCCCACCTGTCAAATGGGAAGCTTGGAATGGACGGTGTGCGAGTGTCCTTCAAAATCTTACCTCCTGACATTTCACTGAGGGGCATATGTGAATGGCAAACACATATGAGGTGACTGACATCGTTAGCTATTATGGAAATGCAAATTATAACCACAGTGACATACCACTGCGCACCAATGAAAACCAAATATAATTTTGAAAAGGTTTATTTCTGTTTACAAAAGCAGAGTCTACTAAATTGCTGTGGGTTACAGGGAGCTGAAGATGAGAAAAGCCTTCCTCACAGAGCCAGAAAACAGAGCATTAACACAACAGTACCAATAGTTTAAACAAATAACCACAAGGAAATTCCTACTTCCCTTCATGCATTCTTGTTTCTCTGGATCGTGGATTAGCAGTCTGCTTTCATGAAGCCATCTGCTTCTGGACTAAGAAGAGCCCTAGAAACCCTGATTCGGTCCAGGATATAGTCTGAGGGTTGCTTAAGTGACGTCAGCTAAAAGGCCTCCACCCAAGAGTCTATTCTTTAAAGTATGGATGGTTTGAAGTACCTGATACAGCCATTTACCTTGAGGCTCTAAGGCTGTTCTTTTTCAGTGAAGACAGAAGCTGCCGCCTGCATCTCAGAGCTGAGCCCTCGCACAAGCATCAGAGTAAAAAATAACATCCTTGAGAGGACAGAGACTTCGCAGCTGTGATTAGTGTATTACTTTAACCCATAATATCAGAATGGAGGACAGTAAAGTTCTCTATCAACATTCAGTACAGAACTATTTCAAAAGACTTTAGATGAGTGTTTCCCTGAGGGTAAAAACAGATGGGCAGTGGGGAACTGACAAATCACCAGGGACTTCCCATAAAACATACAATTTCTAAAATATTTACATTAACATTTCATCCATATAAGCTTAACCTCAGGAAGGCTGAACATGTCTTCTGATCTGACAACTCCTCCCATGCAAATGTTACAATAGTAACATATCAAACCAACCTAATTATTTCTAGCATCTCTCTTTTCTGAGGTGCAAAAACAAATCTTTGTGATTTTCCAGGGCCCCTCTGGGAAATTTCAAAGATCACCACTGTAGGTGTAAAAGATATCCGAAAAGTTCTCTTTCATTTTTTTTTTCTATATTTATTAAATTATTTGGGAAAGCAAAAATCTAAAGAGTTGTCAGAAGAGATTTGGACACTTGATTTATAAATGGTCATGGGTGCCTGACAATCAATCCACAGTTACCCATTTAATTAAGAGATAACATTTAAAAGTAAAAGGACCTGAGTATTGAAGACATGTGTCCACATAAAAACTTGCACATGAATGTTCATAGCAGCATTATTCANGGGGGGAGGTGCTCCTGAATGAGCAGGTGGGCCAGTTTGGTTGGGGCCATCCACTGAGCCTGCTGTTACCTTCTCCCTGTGTCTCCTAGGAAATGAATATCCAAGAGCTCACCAACTACAGAAAGAGTGTCATGTCCTTGGCTGAGGCAGGGAAGCTCTACCGCAAGGACCTGGAGATTGTCCTCTGCAGCGAGCCCCCCATGTAAAGGGGGGCAGCTTCTCCACCTCCCCCAAGCCCTGCCCCTGCTGCCCTGACACTTCTACCCAGACCTGGAGATCATGAGCACTCCTCCCCCCACCCCTGCAGCCTGCACACACCCGGCCTGCATACCAGGAAAGGAGAGATGGAGGATGGGCTGCTGACCAGCCTCCTGGAGCCCCGCGACGGACTGGGCATACCACTCTGCCTGCAGTGGGGCACCAGCCAACCACATGGAAGATGGGCAGGGCATGGGTGGAGGGTCCCTGATTCTCTTCGCTGTGATGCATGAGATCCTTTGCTGTACGATTTACGCTTCCATGTCCAATAGAGCGGACCTGGCCCTCTTGCTCCCCTCCGCCTCTCCGCCATGCCACCACCCACCCCAAACTCCCACGTTCCATCCGCCACCTTGCTAACGGTATAGCTGTCTTCTCGGAGTTCCTGTTTGTGGAGGGCACTCGCCCTTTCTTGTCATCTTGACTCAGCGTGCTCCTTTTCTCTTTGGGTTTCTTGTCTTCTTGTTTACCAAAGAACCGTTTACAGACAATAAAGTGGAAATGTTCTGCTGTGGAAGCTCCCCTCGTTCTGGTCGAGTGGTCAACTTCTCTCTGCAGGTGGCAGCTCTTCTTGACAAAGAGAGAGCCTGTTCTCATGTGGGTGGGGAAGGGCGTCACCCTCCCCTCCCTACCCCCCCAACTAAAGCGTAACCACTAGAAGCAGGGGCATAGGACCCCAGGACTCTGGGCTTTCACTCCAGAGTCACTGCCTAGCTCATTATCTACCTGTTCCTTTACTCCATGTTTGTTTCTACATCTCCGAGATTATAACAGCAGTTACCACTTCATTGAAAGCTTACTAAGGACCAGGTCTTATGTGGCATGGTCAAGGAAACTGAAGATAATGAGCCCCACGTCTCATGGCCAGTTGGGGCCAGAGGCAGGGTATAAATCCCGCAGACTGGATCCACATTCCTTACCTTAGGGATACCAGTGGGCTGTGGCAACAGTGGGACTAAGTGATCTCCACCAACCAGGAGTTCTAGACCACCATGAACTTAACGTCTCCTCAGAGTGCCCTTGACCCCACAACAACTCATCAGATGCCCCTTGGTATAGGACAAGCTTGGCCTTTGGGGCCACAGAGCTCTTTGAGATACTAGAGAGATAACTGATTTTTTAAAATGCTACCCTTTATTGATTAGCCACAAGATTCTTTTTTTTTTTTTTAAGATTTTTTATTGGGGAATTGGGGGGATGGAAACAGCGCTGGGGAACTGGGGGAAGGGGAACAGACAAGTTGCTGTCGTTTTGTTATTCAGTCTAGTTGTGGAGGACGTTGCTTCACTGGCCCAAGTTGGCACCATCATTGTGCTCTTCCCGGGCGAGGCAGATCAGTCGCCGGCTTCTGGACGGCCACTCACGGTGGCTGCTGGCCGCTCACGCTGGCTGCTGGCTACACACGGTAGCCCATGGCAACCCACTGCAGCAGTGGCTGCAGCCTACGCCATCGCCGGCGACTCACGGCAGCCCAGCTCCAGGTTGAGCTGTTGTTCAGCATCTTAGCTGTAGAGGGCAGTGTCACTGGCCCTCATATGTGGGATCCGAACCGGGCCCTCTGGTGTCCCAAGCCAATTCTTAACCATCGCGCCACTCAGCCGGCCCTCCACAAGATTCATTTTGACATTTCCTCGTTTAATCCCACAACAATCCTATGAAACGGGTACTATTTTCAGATGAAGAAATTGAAGTTCAAAGACATTAAGTAACTTGTTCAAGGGGATATAATTCCTAAGGGGCAGAATTAGGATTTAAATACAGGTTGGTCTGACTCCAGTCACCTTTGGGGATGTCCCTCTATTTGATATCCAGGAACCCATCTGGGGCAATAGGCCACCAAGGGGTAGATATACCTGGATCAGATATAAGCCCCATTTCTTTCCCAGCCACACCCCTTTCTGAGAGAAGCTATCCTGTTCACAGCCTGGAATGTGCAGCCCAGTGAGCCACTGTCTGACCTCTGTCAACCTGCCCTACAGCCGACTGGGCCAGGAGTGGATGTCTGGTCCAAGCTGGGCCAGTAAAGGTCCCCAGGATCTCAGGTTGAGACCCAGGGCTGTCAGGCAGAGTGTGTGGTGTTGAAGCTAAGCGGTAATACAGTTTTGGGGGTCAGAGATAGCACCTAGGCAATCCAAAACCAAGACTGAACTGATGCTGAGAAGACTAGAAACCAAGATGCTGAGAGAGGGAGCCAGTCAGAGAGTAGTGGGGGAAATCTGCAGAGAAAAACACAGGGAAGAAGAGAGGGAGGAAGGATGGAGACAGAGAGAAAGAGAGAGAGAAACAGAATGAGGGTGGAGGGGAGCCATCTAGGAGCTCCCATAAGGCCCTGCTGCACTTCCTAATGCTAGTTTCCCTGGGTCCTACAAGGGCATCTCCCTGCGCTCCAGTAAGTGCACCCCCACCCCACCCCGTCATCCCTGGTCTTTAGGCCAGTGTCCCCTGTCCCCTGGATGAGGCACTGTCACCCAGTCCGTGGTTTCACACCTGCCCTCCCAGACACACACTGCTCTATCTGTGCTTCCCTTCAAAGTGTCTGAGGCAAGAAGGGGTGGAGCGGTTACCACCGTTTGGGGCCCATGTGGGAGCAAAGCTGGGTCCTTTTCTACCTGGTTCCTGCTCCTGGACCTGGGTTTCCCCTTTCTCCCAGGTATGCTTTCTGCTCAGCGGAAGGCGAAACTCATGCTCTAAAGGTCTTCTTTAATGAGTCTATTTAGTTCATTCTGAACACAGAAGGGAGATGTCACGACCATCACGGCCCCATCATTAGTGATGTCTTGACTCTCTCCTGTGTTTGGAGGCCACGCCAGGTGAACAGGGGCCAAGACAACAGGGAGCATTGGTTGCATCTGGGGTTCATTGTAACCACTTCTTTCTTTCCCATGAACTTTGTAGCTGCCTGATTCACAGATGCATTAGGAGCTGGTGAGCTCCAAACACAACTTTTAGGAGGAAGATCCCAGTCTAACGCCAAGCCCTTGAGTGGAACTTCACATTTCAAATAGAGGTTTGGGACCTGGGGCCAAAGTCAAGGATAGAGCAGCCCCCGTGCAGATACAGAGATTTCAACCTTAAAGGTGACTGTCTCCAGGTACATTCTGTATTTGCACAATCCCCTCTGGAAAGATTACTGAAAGCTGGGCACAAACCTATTAGACTGTATATTTTGGAGGGGGCACCTGCGTTCTGCCCTGGTCTCCCAGGTCCACCCCAGGAATGGCCCTGCCCCAATGAGGGACACAGAGGTTCTCCAGCATCTTGCACTTGGCTCGAGTTTCTCCATCAACCACCCAGTTTCTAACCCAAAGATCAACAGAAACAGTCTATTAAGAGAAAGAAAAATGCCCAGGGACATCAAGCCTGCTTGTAAGTCCAGCTAAGGAGGGCAGTGCCCAGAACCTTAACTCAGTAAGCTGGGATAGCTACTCTCGAGGCCAAGATGAGATGTTCCTAGAGTAGGCTGGTCAAATCCACAAGATGCCAGGTCACTGAGAAGAACTTTAAAGGGTTTGAGCCACTATAGTTCCTTTTCCAAGGAATGTGCTAGTAATCAAGATGTTTTCCTGACAACTACTTTCTACCGCATGTTGCATGGGGAGACAGCAAGAAGACAAAGACATGAGGGATGGGTCTGGTAGCACCGAGAGGGAATTGCTCCGACCACTGAGGGAACACAGGAGCCCATGAAGAGGGCCCCCTTTGGTATGCTCTGGCACCCTTGAATGTGTGGCCGACAGACCCCCTTGGCAGCAGGAACAAAGGGATTCCTCTGGGAATCCCTCCCTGGCTTTCCAATATTTAGCTTGGGTGCCACTCCCATGGGAACTTTGGTTTTGCCCCATTGTCTTCATTTAATAACAACTACTTATTGAGTAGCTTCATGAAGATTATACTCTATGGTGAAAGACAGACAATAAACATAAATAAAAATATTTATAATATAGTAATACATGCTCTAAAGAAAAGTTCGACAAGAGAAAGGGACAGAAAGGGGGAGGTGCTATTTTAGGTTATGTAAAAAGGTGACATTCAAGCGAAGCCACAAATGAAGTGAGGGAGTGAGCCTTGCTGCCATCTTGGGGAAGAGAGACCAGATTGAGGAAACAGCAAGTGCAAAGGCCCTGAGGTGGACGAGTTCCTGGCATGCTCCGAAAGAAGTTCACTGGGGCTGGAACAGAAAGAAGGAAGGAGGTGAGCAGTAGATCAGGCTGGGGAAATAGGTGAGGCCAGGTCATGTGGTGCCTTAGAGGCCATGATTAAAAAGGACTTCAGATCTTACGGTGTCAAGGGAAGCCACTGAGGGGTTAACATCAAAGAAGTGACACAACTTGATTTCTTTTAAAGGTCACTCTGTCTCCTGTGTGGGCAGAAGGCAAGAGAGAAAGCAGAGAGACCAGTTAGGAGGCTGATGCTCTAGTGCAGTTGAGAAACACTGATGACATGGACCAAGGACGTGGCGGGGAGGTGATATTAAACATCAGATTCTGAACCTATTGCTAAGATTGAGTTTAAAGGGCTCGCTAAGGACTGGATAAGTGATCCGGGAGAAAGGCAGGAGCCAAACATGACTCCAAGGTGGTTAGCTTGAGCAACTGGCTGCATAGTGGGTGCCAGTCACCAAGATGGGAAGCCCGGAGAGGAGCAGGTTTGAGGAAGGGCGGGAAGCATTAGGATTTTGGACACGCTGCCTGGTATTTGGTGTCTCTGTTGGGATTCCAAAAGAAAACAGATGGGACGTTGTTCCCTTTGTTGGTGTTCAACAAATATCTGTGAGAGAAGCAAATGCTAGTCCCTGGGAACACAGGAGCGAATGTGACAGTCCCTAACTGCCGAGAACTTAAAGGCTCCTTGGCCGAGAAATGAAAGAAATGTGCAACTCAGCTGGTAAGTAGTGGGTCAGAGAAAAAAGCACAGGAAGGGGCCGTAACCTAGACTGGAGGTGGGGGGCGGGGGTGGGGGGAGATTCCTGGATGAGAATTCCTGGCAAGAAAAGAAAAATTAGCGTCAATAGCAGCACCAGAGCCAGAGATAGCCAGGCTCATATGAGGGGAAAGCAAGTCACTCAAGAGAACTGAAGCTCAGGGGAAGACATGAGAAATAAAGCTCAAGGATGGGACAGGACCAGCTCGCAAAGGGCCCTGGGGCCCCCAGGGTTAGGACTTCACTGTCCTTCCCAGGCTGCTTCTGTCTCCTCCCTTCCTCTTCCCTTCCAGCCTTGGCTCAAGAGTCCCCTTCTTAGTGAGGCCCACCCTGATTAAACTGCAGCCCGCTGCCACCACCCTCCTTTCCCTCACTCCCGGAACCCCATAGCCCTTCCCAGGCATACCTTTCTCCATGGCACTATAACCCTGTGACTTGACATGTGTTCAGGCTGCACCCCACTGCCCAGCTAGAATGATGGCCCCAAGGGCGGTGGGCACCCACCCTATAGTTCTGCCCATGCCTGCTCAACCCACACACCTAGGGGTGCCCGTTCCTCCCAGCCTTTTCCTCACCTAGTACCCCTCTCCCCGCCACAAATA